CAGAACCAACTCCACAGCACATAACAACAACAACAACAACTACAATTTAAGCAGTCACTTAAATACAAGTAGTGTGAAATGAAAGTTGGCAAGTGCTCAGATAAATTTAGCTAGGAATGCAATTAAAAAAGCAATCAATGTAAGAGATGGGATTATCTACTTCCCGTATTTCCAATGCTAAGAATATGTGGATGAATAGCTCCTCTATTCTTCATTTCATTATCTTAACCATAAGCATTCTGGTTGTCAATCTATAGGGTAAGCTTTTAGACATGAGTTTTCTAAAACAGAAAAAAAAAAAACACTTAAAAACATCTGCAAAATGAAACAAAAGCTAAAGAAAAAAGTAACAACTAAAGAAAATATTTGGTATCTTACAAAAAAACAAATACAACTTACATTTTCCTTTGAATTCTATATTCTAGCAGACTGCATCTTTAGAGTGAATCAATCATAACAGAGCTGAGCGTTTTCTACTTTGAACCATGAAAACACTAGATCATAAAATTTACATTATAATCTATAGACTACGGTTTGCCTAAAACTTAACAAGAGCTCTGGTAGCATAGTGGTTACGAATCGGGCTGCTAATCTCACGGTCAGCAGTTCAAAACTACCAGCTACTCAGCGGGAGAAAGATGAGGCTTTCTGATCCCATAAAGATTTACAGCCTCGGAAACCCTGTACAGGGTCACTATGAGTCGGAACCGACTCCACGGCATACAACAACCTTATTCTGTGCTGAAAATAATCTCCAATATTTTTTCTTTGGAAGTGCATTATAAATATTGTCATATATAAGGGGATAACAAAACGTTTGTGGGAAAGTGGAATTAAAAGATAATGGAATTTTCCAAAACTTTTGATGAGTCAAAAAAATGGTTAAGAGATCTAGGGCTGTTTCTTCAGATAATCTCTGAAACTTTCAACTCACTTTTCTTCAAAACACCCAATAATATCTAATATTTGCATTTAGTATGTCTAGTGATAGAATTTAACAAAATTAATGGACAAATCACAAAAAATGTTATTTCTAATATGCAAAGTACTAATAGATGCTTTGTGATACAGCAATGTTAGAGACTGATCAATTTAGAAAAAAATATAGTTAAAAAAAATTATGTTTAAAAATATAATTAAGTGCCATCGAGTCATTCTGACTCATAACAACCCTGCAAAAAGTTTCTGAGGAACAAATGATAGGTTTAAATTGCCAACCCTGTGGTTCGCAGTCCAGTGTTTACCCTACAATGCCACTTTAGGAGTTCATAATTCTACTATATTACATGAAAACATTAAAAATGGGGATAGCCTCATATTTTCTAAAATTGACATTAGAACATGCTATCAGAACATGAAACTACAGAAGAACCAAATGCAGAGAGGAAAAAGGAAGGAATGAAAAACTTTGAAAATCTATCTAATAGGTATTTAAGAAGTTCCTACTGCAGGTTAAGCTCAGGTGAGTCAAAGGAGAACAGGATACTCTTGGAAGTTCATGTGGAGATGGATACACTACACGTTACGACAGTACAAAATAAGCATATAAATTGTTGTGGAAACACTGGATTTCTAATGCCTACTTCTGCAATGGTGACATTTGAACCAGGCCTTGAAGGAAATAGTTTCTTTCAAGGAAAACAAGGTTAATGCAGGCAGCAAAACTCAGAAAACTTTGAAATATCTAAAAGGACAAAGCATATTTAAAGAAAAGTGAGAACTATGAGCCAAAGTTTATAAATAAGGGAAAAAAGCACAGATAATAAAGAGTGGGCAAGGGTCAGATTTTAAAGTTTTACACATAAAACCTTTAGTTAATCTCTCACCTAGAAAAATAAAGGAAAATCTTGGCTGGTACTGAGAGGTTGCATAGAAGTTTTTAGATTGTTTTATGACATCCAGAGTTAATTCTGACTCACAACAAGTTTCACAGCTGGCCTGATGGTGGGGATGATACAGAAATGCAGCAAGAAAGCATTACTCAGGTGGCATGAAAATGCTTTCTCACGCTCATCTTCTGTATCCCCACCATCTAAGAAGCTTTGAGAAAGTAGAATGGCATGAGTCCACTAACTGATTGGCACTAAATTGTAGACAGTCACTATGAATCTTAAGTGACTAGATAGCATATAACAATAACAACAAATTCTAGCTCAATTCTGAACCCTTAGGCAATTTAATCTCTCAGGCTTTATTTTAAAAATGTAAGCACTATTTTAATTCACTGAATCTGGTATGACCTTTAACAATGGACTTAATCTGCAAGGTTGGTGGTGGTTGAAACCCACTCCTCAGAAACCTTATACATGGTGAGCCAAAAATGACTTGAGGGTACTTATCAAAATCACACCAAACTTTTATGAGTAGGAACCAAGTGGACTACTGTCCAATTAAGAAGAAAAAAACGTTACCAACTAAACTTTAACATGAGATTTTTAAAGAGGCATCCTGATTCAAGATCTTAAAAATGGAGTTATAAAGGGGGTGGTGGTGGTGGCGGAGGATAAAATATGCTAACAGTACTGACTTTATAGTATAGTAGTAGTATGAAGTGCCGTCCAGTCCTGGCTTACAGTGAGGAACAGCTGCTAAGTTTGAACCGGAAGCCTTGAGGTTCAAACTGACTTTATGGTTGCGTGCTTATCCTACAGCACCACAGATGACTATAAAAGCAAAATGAATTGAAACCTTTAGAACAGTGGTTGGCGTATAATAGGTACTCCATGTTAGAAAGCAGTATTTTCTATAGTGTCCCAAGCTTTACTTTATATAGCACAGAATTCTTTTACTTTCCATAGTTTTTCAATCAGGAGCTACTGAGTATGTGTCTTTACTTTGTCCTGTATGAATAACACTTGTAGCCCTATACCATAGCTTTTAATATGCAGCCTAAAACCCTTTATCTAATTAAAAGGTTCTTTCTTATTCTAATGATTTATGATATTGTGATTCAAGTGTATGATTACCTTTGTTTGAAGGACATTGTACCAGACTGAGCATGACAATGGGTGAAAACTTCCTGGTAAGATTGTTTTTCCAAGTCTCTGGCTCAACTTCTTGACATTCAGGCAAGAACATACGCCAGGTGTACTGCTTCACACTTACAGCACTAGAGCACCTAAGGAAGCTGATGCCTCCCTTCTGGAGGAGGCTTTACAAACACCCCCAGATTGCTACAATGACTCATAGAGTCCCATCTGACTTTCTATTCTCCAGGCTTTAGCCAGAACCTGATAAAATGAAATATATAATATAAATATAATAGTACACAAAGCTTATCAAAAGAGAAAAACACAATTAAAAAGGAGGTAGGCAGGGAGTTAGGTGTTTATCTTTAGTACTGCCGTGAGTTATAAAAGTGCAGGACAGGGTAGTGTTTTGCTGTGTTGTACATGGGATTGCTATGAATTGGAACCAACCCAACAGCACCTAACAACAATCACCATCACATTATGCCTGCATCAAAATTGAATTTGATCACTGTTATCTTACATCAAAGTAACATAAAGTGATTAGTAATTATAAGAAATTTTCCCTGAAAACTACAAGCAATGAATGCAGCAACACTGCCAGCTGTATTTTGCATATTTCCATGTAGGAAAGAACATTTTGGATTTTTGCTACAGTGACTGCAGATGAACCCTGCCAAGTCAAATGAGGTGACCTGTAGTGCGGTGGAGAAGAGAGGGCAAGAACACAATCAATCCTTTTTAAAACTATTTATCATACTCATCTAAAGAGCTGTTCACCTGGTATAATACTAGAGTATAGGATACTTTTCTCCTTGAGAGTTGGAGAAAACAAAGCAGCAAAGCTAATCAAAATGTCCTACACTTAAAGGTTTGCTGGGATGAGAGGGCAGCTCAGATTCCAGTACCCTATTTTTACTGATATTTAGGCAAGGTAGGTGTGAAGTTAAAGTGGTAACACGTTAAATGTGCACCTGCCCATTACACATTACACCTCGAGCAATTAATCTCCCAGTCACCAAGAGCTGTCCAGATAACAGCTTTGATAGTACTAAGAGCCAAAAATAAAAGATCCTACCATTATTAATTTTCCTTCGCCTGTTTCTCGCCTAGTAACATTATACAGAGCAAAAGAAAAAGAAAAAAAAAAATCAACAAGGTCAAGGAAATATTCCTTGATTACTTAAGGATAATTTGTTTTCAAGTAGTCATATTTCTTTTTCCCCTTTGCACCAAATTTGAAAACCCACTGCAAAGGCCTACTTTCTAACTGCTTCTTTTCATCCAACTTGTCTTATTCTACCCACATCATCTCCTGACAACTCATAACTTCTTTATAAACAACTGTCCCAGTGCCTTTACTTTATAAAAGTGTGCAACCAGAACCATTCAAGCGCTTCCGAACCACAAAGACTTGGAGGGCACTTCCTCCATTTGAACGCGGGCATCTTTGCCAGCTGTCGCCCTGGCAGTGAAGAAAAATGAGGCGGCCCTCGTGGCTAACAGCTTGGCCCAGCTGTGAAGATGACTGAGGCCTGTGAAAACAAAGGCTAACGAACACGACCCCCAGGACGTGGAATCTGCGCCCCCACTCCAGGCCGCGATGTCCCTGATTCCTGGCACAGTGGCCTTCGCCCGCACGGAGCCCTGGTCTGGCCCCCGGGGCCGCCCTCCCGACCTCAAGCCCCTGAGCCACTGGCTTGGCACGACTCCTCCCCCCGCCCAGCTCGCGCAGGGTCGGGAATCCTGCAGACCCTCGTGTCGGGCCAAGGGTGACGCCCTCGACCTCGCGCGGGCACACGGGGGGCCCAGGACCGCGGCCCATCGACTTGTGGCGACCCGCACTGGGGTCCGTTCAGCCCGACGGGGACACCTGGGGGCACATGGGGACACTGCCTCCCCTGAGGGCCGGCCGGCAGGGCTGGCAAGAGGCCACGAGAGCGTAGGCGTGTGTCTGGCAAGGGGGCGGCCTCCCGCCTCCGCGTCGCCACCTCCCCCCGGCCGGCCCGGGCAGGGGGAGGGCCCGCTCACCTCGGTAGCGGCGGGAGGCAAGGTGGCCGGCGGCTAGCAGCAGCACGGCCACCAGCGCCAGCACCTTGGCGCTCCTCACGCTGAAGTAGTGGTTGATCTCCCGCTTGCCCAGGTTGTAGGCCAGAGCCGCCATCTTGGTTTCTCCATGACAACAGCGCGCGGCCAGGCGGGGAAGGGGCGCCGCACAGGGGCAGCACTGGGGCTGCTGCCGCCGCCAGCCCCCGCCGCCGCCACCCGCACTTCCCGCAGGGCAGCCTGACCCCACCGCCGCTGCCGCACCCCCGGCCTCAGCCTGCCCCTCCTCGGCCGCGGCCGTCTCGGCGGCCTCCCCCCAACCCCGCCGCCGCTGCTCCGCCGTGCCGGTTCCCCAGGCGCCCTGGACGCCTGTCTCCTCCCCTTCCTCCTCCTCCCCTTTAGCCTCCTGCCTTAATAGCGGCTGCGCCTGCGAGGGGGGTCCGGATGCCCAGTGTTTCGGGGTCATGGGCCCTAAGCGGCCCTCAGGGGTCATCGGGTCACGGGCGGCAAGCAGCAGTGACAAGGACATGGGGAGGGTTACAGAGGGGCCCTGGGGTCCCAGCCTGCCTTAGATGAAGGCCCTGAGACTCTTGGTTTATTCGCCACTACCTGAGCACAGTTCCGAAAGAAAAGTACACATGACCCTGCTCACCCTTTCCCCTATAAAAGATTTCCACTCCCTGAGTCCCATCACCATCACGTGGAGTTATTGCTACGCTGTCTAGTTAGTCTAGATCACTAACCCATTGGCCTGGTGATGAAATTGATGGCAATTTTGATACAGATGTCTTCTTGACCAAAGTTAAACTAGGCAAGGAAGTCAAGAAAAAAATGGTTTAAGTACTTTCATACCAGAAGAAGTTAACCTCTGCCATAAGATCAAAGGCTTCAGGAACTAGTTGAAATGGCCCTGGTGATAACAATCTATGATAAAGAAACACATGTTCCTTTGTTTTGAGGAAATGTTAATGTAATAAAAGGGTAATTGTTTATTCCAGCTGTAATTTAATGTGTAATATATAATGTGTAAAGGTTTTGTATCTAGCAAGGCAACTTTGGGAAGCTCTTCCCGGTATCTTCCAGATTGCTTGTTGTTGTTAGGTGCTATTGAGTTGGTACTGACTCATAGCAATCTTATGCACAGCAGAACGAAACACTGCCCAATCCCACTATCATTGCCATGCTTGAGCCCATTGATGCTTTGTGCTAATAAAGCGAGATACTGGATCTCACCCTGTCTCTGTGATTGAATACAGTGACAGGCAGCTAGCCCTCATTTGCTTGGCAACATTTCTGGAGACCACGTCTGGAACCTCGAGGACTACACCTTACTTGTTGGGAAGCCTACTGGCCACCTGGACTGGTGGAGCCAGGAGATTAAGTCCCCAAATGTTCCAAGTAGTGATACAGGAAAACTTTTTCTTGGGAGCCTTGGGTTCTGGGTCCTCAGCGCCCACGATTGCTTTCACTTTTGATCCACATGCTGTATGTTGATACTGCACATTGAGGCACCAGGACCAAACTGCCTTTGAGTGTGTCTATGGTTTTTGTAAGGTTAACTTCTGTACAGCGGGAGCCTGAGCCTCCATTCCGAAAGAAAGAGTCCCTTGGGACGAATTTTGTCTGATTGGTACACCTATGGGTTTAGGTGCATAGGATACTCCTATGACTAAGAAATGATGTTTTACTGTACCTGACCTGGCCTATGTACCATCTTGAGTCTGGGTAAAAAAATGACCTTTAAATGGATCCTTAAATTATTTTACCATCTTGTAATTAGTGCTCTTTTGTCAAAGATGGAGGAAATGGGATGAAATACCTCATGTAAGAGCCTTTGTGACGCTGCATAGCAAGAATGCTAGGATGAAGAGAAATCAGCTAATGGTTCAGATAGGACCTAAAGCGAGGGAGTAAGAAGGGAGAAAAGAATTTCCAGTAGTTTCTAAGGAAAGTTGAACAGTTAGGATAGACCAGGAAACACTGAAAGATCAGATTGTAGTGAATACTCATCAACCAATTGCCTCACACTCCCCTCATGTCAGCCAGGAGCTAATATTATTGGGCCCACACCCCATTTTCCACTTCAGATTTGTTAAGTTGGAAAAATTCTAACCCTCCTTGAACAGACCCTTTTGAGGTCACAGACTTGGTCACCACTATTTTTGCCACTCGCCATCCCAATTGGGCAAACATCCAGGTCTCACTAACTTTGCTTGTGACTAGCAATTAGTGTCAGCTGGTCTTAGATAAGGCTTGGGAATAAGTCCAGTGGCTTCACACCGAAAATCCAAGTGATACTCCGGATTCAGCTGTAGATATTCCTTTAACCGAGCCAGACTGGAACCCCAAGGATGGTGGTCATCTGTTATTAAACCACTGTAGGAGGTGTATTCTGGAAGGAATGAAGAAGGGAGTCACCAAACAGAAGAGCCTGAATGTGGTACACAGTCCAGCAAAAACTCAGAGGTCCCCTTACCATAAGTACACTGATCTGGATCTGCAGGGCCCCAACAATGTACGTATGATTAACATGACTTTCGTTTCTTAAAGCCCTCCAGACATTCAGAAGAAACTCCAGAAGTTGGACAGAGTGGTAGGAATGAGTCTCTCGTAATTAGATGCTGCCTTTAATGTCTTCAACAATGGAGAGCAGATAAAGACTCAGGCAAAGGAGCTCTGGTAGCGTAGTGGTTACGAATCGGGCTACGAACCGCAAGGTCAGCAGTTCAAAACTACCAGCTGTTCCGCGGGAGAAAGATGAGGCTTTCTGCTCCCATAAAGATTTACAGCCTCGGAAACCCTGTACAGGGTCGCTATGTGTCGGAACCGACTCAACAGCACTTAAAAACAACAACAACAACAAAGACTCAAGCAGTTAACATCTTTCTGGAAATCACCCAAGGCAGGGTTCTGGGGCCTCAGCAGGGAACCCTCTCTGAGGCAACTAGGTCTTGGAAACCACTAAAGGGAAACCAGTGTGCTTATTGCAAAAAATTTGGACTTTGGAAGAATGAGTGCCCCCAAAGGAAAGGGGGCCCTAGGGACGACATGAACCACCAGGTTAATCGACAGACACTGGAGCAATCGGCCTCTGGGGATGATTGAGGATGCCTGGGGATCCATCATGATCTATCACAAAATATTCTTATTGACCCTCAGGAACCCTGGGTAAAAATAACTGGGAGAAAAAATTATGGATTTTCTTGTAGGTACTGGGATTGCGTATTCAGCGGTGAACACTCTCCTCAACAGTCTTTCTGCTCAGTCCATTTCTGTCATTGGAGTCTTGGACAGATGGAGCTGATATTTTTCTTAAAGCCTTTGGACTGCTGCACTGGAGAAAAACAGATGACGCATCACTTTCTTTACATGCCTGCTTGTCCAGTTCCCCTTTTGGGGTGGGATTTGCTTTCCTAATGGAATGCCCAGATAGCTTTCTTTCCAGAGACAAAAAGTCTACAGATGAGGCTCCACATAAGCATGCATGGCAGCCAACAGAGACAGAGTCTGGAGGGCCAGAAGAGATCAAACAATAAGGTAAACCTCCTCATGTGGTACAACGGAACTCCCGGAAGAGCCAGACGGGCCACCCTGGTTGAGGTCTGGCTGAAACCTGGCCAGAATCTGACCCAGTGGAATCCATATGCCCTCAGGAAGGAACCCTTAGAAGACATAGCTCCCCTAATAGAAAAATTTTAAACTCATGGACTTGTTAGATCGTAAACTCGCCAAAGGGAGAGCAGCAGTATGTTGTTATTGTTGTTAAGTGCCATTGAGCCAGTTCTGACTTACACCGACCCTGTATACGGTTTCCAAGGAGCAGCTGGTGACTTTGAACCTCCAGCCTCATGGTTCAAACTGACCTTGCAGTCCACTGTTTTATCACACAGTACCATAGTATGAGGACTATTTAATGAACACTGTGTTAGTGTCGTTCGTTAAGTGCCATCGAATTGGCATAGTGACCCTGTATAGTGTTTCTAAGGAGTGACTGGTGACCTTGAACTCCTGACCTTGCAGTTCCAACTGACTTTGCAGTTCAGTACATTAACCCACAGCCCCACACCAGGTCTCCAGTGAACACTGTGTGTTATTGTTAAGTGCCTTGGAGTAGGTTCCGATTCATAGCGACCCTGTGTAGGGTTTCCAAGGAACAACTGGTGAATTTGAACTGCCGACCTTGTGGGAAATCATTTGGCTCAGTACATATATAAAGTCTCCAGACTAAAAGCTCAAATTTGCAAACAAAATGTGAAAATCTTGGGGGTTTCAAATTTAACATGGCCAAAGTAGTTTATTTAAAAATGGGAAGGAACTCATGACCCAGACCCTAGTCCCAAAGACTCGGAGGTAACTTCTTCAGGGATCCCCAGGGATGGCTGGGTTCTGTCACATCTGGATACCCAACTATGGACTGATAATAAAACCTCTGTATGAGGCTCATAAGGAGATGGAAAACCCTTGAACTGGACTGGGGATTTTAAAAGGGCTTTCAACTCCCCATAAGAACTTTTGGCCTCCACCCCAGGCTTTGGTCTCCCTAATCTTTTAAAACCCTTCTTCCTGCTTGCAAAAGACAAGGACTTGTGTTGGGAGTGCTGATTCAATATGCGGGCCTGATACCCCAACATGCTGCATATTTCTCCAAACATTTGGACTCAATGGCTTCCAGATGGCCCTCTTGCCTATGAGCTGTTGCAGCTACTTGCAAATTACTGCAGGACACAGAGAAGTTCACCTTGGGGCAGTCAGTAACTGTGTTCTTCATTATGCCCTAACTCTGCTTCAGCAGAAAACAAATTTTTAACTGCAGGGAGAATGAGCAAATATCAGGCTAATCTCCTTGACAACCCTGAAGTTACTCTAATGTCAGGGTCCAGCCTCGACAGGGAAGTGGGTTTCATGAAGTTGGGGGGTATGGTAGGTGAAAGATATAGCATAGAGACAAAGAGACAATACAGACACAAAGAGACAGACACACAAGGTTGATGCAAGCTGACGGGCAGACAGTTCTGCTGCAGACATTGCACCCAAAACTAACTCTAGGTGGGATGGCTGGAGAGGCGAGACAGAAAGAAACACTCAGAGACCAGAGTGGATACAAACTGACAGGCAGATAGTCCTGCTGCCAAGAATGCACCCAGAACTATCTCTAACACAGTCTTTTATTTTCTCTCTTTAAGGAAGAGATTTTTACAGAAGAAGAATGGGATTATTCAGATAAAACAATGCTTAATGATTCACAGAGACAATCTTTAAAATAAATTAAGCCAGTAATCCTTTCTTGCTACAGTCCCAGGGAAGGTGAGAGACGAGTCTCA